AATGTCAAAAGCTAATTTTTTTGATCGAAAAACGCGTTGACGATCTGCGGTTTGTTTTGGCCAATGAAATTTTAGCGATATCATCACGAGACTGCAAAATTTTCATGGCTAGGGTACTATGGTACGACGTACATATTAGATTTTTAATTTTTTTAATTAATCTTATGCATCACCCTCTATCGGCATTCATGCAAAGCAATAACGTTACATGACCCGAACCCCAGTTCTACGAATTCTCGGAGTACTATCGAACGTGTCGAACAGTACATTACATATTAGCCAAGCAAAGAAAATAACATTTTACAAAGGAATATTTTGACAAATTTTCGTAATAGTCCGTATAGGGATTGAACATTTAGATAAAATTAGTAAGAAAAAAAGGTGTTTATTCACAATACAATAATAATTTGTTAAATTTTATGTTTTCTGTGTAATATTAACATTTTAAAGGTTACATAATTAACCGGTTTGACCCGAGTTAAAATTTTTGACCCGGTTGAACTGTTTTGAACACGGGTGAACCGGTTTATTATAACCCGGTTCTAAATTCTGATTCTATCCAACGTCGCCAATTTTTTTTACGTTGAGCAATATCGTCCTTTAATTTTGACGTTGGTACCGCAGAATTCAATCTTCTAAAACTATCTTCAGTATTGTTAACGAAGAAAACGTGATACGAATTAATACAAATTTTGATTTCCAAACCATTTCGAGTCAAAACATTAGACATTATTTGTTCTGAAACATCAACAGATGGTAAATTTCTAATTATTAATTAACTATATGTTAGTGCTTTATCCACAATGAATTTTCAGTTTCGCTCAGTTTGAAGATTACGCTACTCGAAAAATAATTTCTTATGAAAATAAATTACCTTTTAAGGAAAGGTCGTTCGGTCTTCGCTGACACACCTTCGGTAGGGTTCAGCGACATGTAACTATACATATAATACGCCCATTTTCCCTCGGATGAAACTGCGTTGCCCAGTGTATAATCACGCCCCGACAATAATATTGTCATAGCTCGCTCATCTTTATCCTAAACAAAATTTTATAATTCTATTACTGAAAGCAGAACACTAAATGGGTTCTTGCTAGGAAAACCACGCTTTGAAACTATATAGATTTGCAAGGTTTGCTGGCTATCTAGTAATCCAATGTGAATAAACTTTTTTTGTTTTTTTAGAAATTACTAAGTTTTATATACATTTACTCAATTGGATTACTAAGTAGCTGAGAAAGTTAAATTTTGGTTTTCCTAACAAAACCCTCGAATATTTACAAACATTGAATACATTCGATATGTTGGTTCATCATATCCAATAGTACTATTAGCGTGTAATTGATACATTATATGGGATCGCACGCTTGATTGGTCGTGTCGTTTTTTATTATTCTCAAATAGGTTGATCAATGTATTTGACTTTGCATCTGACACCAATAATTGCATCTTAAAAATAAATTTTGTTAGAATAATAAAAATATTAAACAATTAAGTCTGAACGTTAAGTCTGAACATTTACTTGTTTAGTCATATTTTGGACCAGTTTATCCACAGTAAACATTATGTATGCTTTTGTGCCATATATATATCGAAGGCATTCCTCAAAAACTGGTAATTCCATATCTCCATCGAATTGTTTTTCAATTAATTCTAGCATAACTGCATATGGGTCGCCTTTGTTTAAATCCATGTCAACATCCGCTAACAATATGAAAAAAGTAGAATGCAAAAACTGATAAATAATCGAGATTTATTGAAAATTATAATATGTAATGTTTATGAACAAATAAAATACGATTAAGGACTTACGATCAATGCGATCGGGCAGGAGACCTAATTCAGTA